TCCCAACACTTTGGGAGGCTGAGGCGGGCAGATCACCTGAGGTCAGGAGTTCAAGACCAGCCTGGCCAACATGGAGAAACCCTGTCTCTACTAAAAATATAAAAATTAGCTGGGCATGGCGATGGGCACCTGTAATCCTAGCTACTCTGGAGGTTGAGGCTGGAGAATCACTTGAACCCAGGAGGTGGAGGTTGCGGTGAGCCGAGATCACGCCATTGCACTCCAGCCTGGACGACAGGAGTGAAACTCCATCTCCAAAACACACACACACAAACACACACACACCCCCACCCCTACTATGTAATTTAGCAATTCTACTCCTTAGTATATTCTACTCAGCAATTATACTCCCAGTTCATTCTTGATAGCCCCGAACTAGAAACAGTTCCAATTCCCATCAATAGGAGATGAGTTAAATTGTCGTATATTCCAAAATGAATATTGTACAGCAATAAAAAAGAGGATTTGTTTTGTCAGATATCAATATTTATAAAGCTTTATTTAGGACAGTGTAATATTAGCACAGAATAGACAAAATGTCTAATTGAACCAGAAGCAAGAGACAAAAATATCCATGTATATCTTGGAACTTGATATATGAGAGAGACGGCCTTGTAGATCATTGAGGAAAGGATGGATAATACAATTATGGTGTCATAACAGTTGATTACCCATATGGGAAAAATATAAAACTGTTTTCCCATATGGGAAAAGGGAAAAAAAAAAAAAACTTACAGCACACAAAAATGAACTCCAAACTCACTAAAAGCTGAAATGTAAAAGGAAAAAATTTAGAATGATTGAAACACAAAATAAGATCCCTTTATGACCTTGTTTAGGAAAAGACTTCTTAAGACACAAAAAGCCTACATTTTAAGGAAAAAGATTGATAAATTTGATATTATTAAAATGAAAACTTCTCTTCACCAAAAATCACACAAATAAACACAATGACTGATCACACTGTAGGAGAATACATTCACAATACAGTTAACAACAAAAGGTGAGAATTCAGAATATATTATTTTAAGGATTTGGTTCACAAGGCTGTGGGGGCTGGCAAGTCCAAAATCTGTAGGGGATGCCAGCAGGCTGGAAACCCAGGCAGCTGTTGATGCTGTAGTCTTGAGGCAGAACTTCTCCAGGAAACTTCACTTGTTGCTCATAAGGCCTTCAACTGATTCGATGAAGTCCTCCTCTCCCCAAGGTAATCTCCATTGCTCAAGTCAACTGATTATAGATATTAACCACATGTACAAAATACCTTCATAGCAACACCTAGATTAGTGTTTGATTAAATAACTGGACACTGTAGCTAAATTGACACGTAAAACTAATAATCACAATGCCCTACATTATTTATTAATCATGTAATGGAAATTAAGAACACAATGAGACACAATTTTATATCCATTAAATTGACACAAGTCAGTTAACACCAAGCATTGAAAGGAGTGGATCAGCAGGACTTTTATCTACTGTTGATGGGACTGTACGCTGGTACATCATTCTGGCAAACAAGTTGGCACCTCCTTATAAAGTTGATCATTTGCATACGTACACCACAGGAGTTTCTCTCCTTGAGGATCTCTTGCACATGAATGCCAGGGGATGAAGGAAATTTACAGGAATGTTACGGTAGTTTTTAAAAAATACAAACAGTGAACAACAACCTGGAAACAAACCAAATAATCAGTCATAGTAAAATGGATACATAAATTATACTATAGTCACAGAATGGCATAGCAAACAGCAGTGAATAAATGAATGATGGCCACGTGGAATGAGCGAATTTTAGAAACATAATATTGAGTCTAAGAATCAAGGCACAGAAGATTAAAAATAGCATAATACCATTTGTATAAAGCTCAAAAGTGAGTAATACAAAACAATATAATGTTTGGGGCCACATGCCTACGTACAGATAGAGACCTACGTGTAAGGAGGAAGGTGGAGGAATGGGATAGTGAAGGAATGCAGAGGTGGATGCAAGTGTTTTCAGTGTTCTAGTCAAGTTTGGTAGTGAGTTTCTGGGTATTTATTTTGTTTATTACTACTAATAATAGATGTTTGGTGTTTCATCTTTTCATTTTATCAAATTACATAAAAATTAGAAAATGAACAAAAACGTGTGCTTCCATTTCCAGTCCAAAGCACTGAAATTTAAAAGTAGTGTGCTTTACTCTATGAAAACATTTCTTAACACATTTTTTTAAAAACTGAAACTAAGTCTGTGAAGGGCTTAGAAGACAATGTAATTCAGGTTTATAACTAAGGCCATGCTTCATCGAAGAAGTCTAGATCAGCTGGAACAATGGTTAACTTTTTTGTTGAGGGTGGGGTGATGAGGTCATTGACTGACTGCTTTGCCATGGAAGCTATTGGTCGTCTCTCTAGAAAGCATTTCATATGTGCAAAACTTGTCACTTAACTTCAGCAGGTGATACTGAATCTGGTGTGGAAATAGGTTACTAAAACTATCTAATACCAATTTTTATTAACTTGACATTGGCAGTCAGATGACGAAGTGTTTTCATCAAAGGTGCTACTTCATTCCTTAAAATCAGTAAGTTAGTGGAAATGTTATAAAGCTAGGTTAATATAGGGAGGCTCTAATTTTAGTCTTTTTAGTTATGTGTAATGGAGCATAGAATTATTTTGGCAAATGGTTATTGGGACTCTCTTTCAGGTTTTAAGTTTTTAATTTGGCCAACTTACCAAGGCACAAATTGAGGGATGACCCACTTTTGCCTGGGTCAAAGCAACCAGGGCATGGAGAAAAATAATTGGGTTTTTCTTTGTAGGAAGCTTTGTAAGGTTTCCCAGTTGGCAAACTCTGTATCCCACATCTGATACATAGAAGAGCTATGAGTAGAAATATGGGTGTTTTCAACATAAAATTTCTAAGTTGCAAAATGCACTTTTGAATACTTAAGCTCTTTTAGGTAATTCTCTTAGCTGAATGAGTAACATAACGTGCCATTTGTTTACAGATACTTGATAATGTGAAGAGCAGTATCATGTTTTCTTTATCTAGCATTTGATGGCTGTTAACCAGTGAAATGAGAGATTAGATTCTGTGCAACTAAAAGCACACACTGGATCCCTTCAAAAAAAAACCCTTTCACCTTCTATATAAAGTATTGAATTAGTTGATTGGCAAGATGCATGTTATGCTATTGAGACAGTAATGTTTTCTTAATAAAGAGTACAGTAGATGTTTTTGTAAGTTCAAGAAAATGCTGAAGCTTACAAGATAAAAATTACCATAGTAATATGTGAACTAATCTTTGTAATTGAGCATAGTACCATATGATTCACCAAACACTATTTTACAAAATTGGTAAGTGTATGTATTTTTAAAAATTTCTAATACTGGTTGGTAATAAAGAATACTAAATTATCAACTTTATCTTTTATATCATAGAGGATTATCTTTTTTCACTCAGCTTTGTTTTTATACTTTGCCTAATATATCACTCTTTTTTCCCTCTTGGGTTGGGTTAAAAGGGAGAATATTTTTCAACTTCTAACTGTCTTCATATTTATCCATTTCTACATTACTTATATGATTACTTATTAGGGCACTCGTGGTATTGCTTTTATAACTGTTAATGATAGTGTACTGTTTTTAAAGTTAATGCTGGAGCAAGTAAGTCAATATGACCTAGAGGTTGAGTGTCATCCTTGGAGCCAGACGGATAGAGTGAATCTCCTCTCAGCGTTACTAGCTGTACGTCCTTGGCAACTTTACTCTGTTTTTCCTGATTTTTAATAAAAGTGAGTTCAGTGCCTGATGCCTTGTAAAAGCTAAACAAATGATAACTATAATGATAGCAATAATAAGATTATTATTGAATTGAGCATTTTCGGTTACATGCTTAACATAGTAGCACCTGTGTCTGTTTAGCATATTCATTTGCAATATAGAACAGGTTGGCTGTAACTCCGATCTGGAGTCAGAATGTCTACCTGTGTGAGGGTCTAGTTCCTTTGAATATATTGTAACTGCATCTGCTATGTGTTATGAGTAAAATGTTTCAGGGCCACCTATTGATTTAACAGCAAAACAATTATATTCACTCTAATGTGTGTTTGAGTGCCTATCATATGCAAAGCAATGCAGGTAATATATAAATATGTAAAATTCAGTTTCTGTTCCTAAGTACTGTCAGTTTAACAGGATTAGGGAAATAAAGGAAATCTACTCTTTTAGGCACCCAAGTGGATAGAGATTGTGCTATCAGAAAAAAAAGTTTAGGCTATGTTAGTAATAGAAGCAGAATGAACCATAAACCAGTTTAAACATCTCGGGGAGCCAAGGGGAAATAAATGGAACTGCTTGCTATGCCTTAGTAGTTGGTTTTTTCATATCCAGGGATCTCTAAGTTAAGGTTTACAATCTATTATATTTTTATATCTTTACAATTTATTTTTTCTACATGTTTGTACTCTAAGCATCTACGGGTGTATTACTTGTTAAAAGCTGTATATGTAGCATGCAGAAATGGAAATAAATATAATACTTATTTCCTCAAGAGAGGCATACATAAAGTTATGACCATTGTTAGCATAAAGGAGGGAGAGGTCACATTCTGTGGAAAATTATCGGAATCAATTTCATGAAAGAACATTTGAGCTGAGATTTCATAAAGATGCATGTGATTTCAGGCAAAGTTAGGGAAATTTAGTGACATGTTTACCTTGTGCTACGTCAAGGAATAAGTGTGAGTAGAAAGAGAACAGTATATGGTATACTCATGAGAGAGTGAATCTTCCATTTGAGCAGGATTGTGGGCTATGTGTAGGATGTCTGGTGAACCTGGAATACCTGTAATTTAAGTAAGTAATGGGGATCCATGAAATAATTTTTTTTTTTTTTTTTTTACATAGGACATGGTGGTGGTAATGGTGGTGGTAGTGGTGGTAGGCTAATAGAGCTAGATAATCTAGTAATTGCATTTGGGTGTTTATTGAATTCGTGTTTTTTTCTCTTTCAGGAAGTTCATGATTTGTTGAAAGACTATGACTTAAAGTATTGTTATGTGGACAGAAATAAACGAACAGGTAAGGTTTCTATTTTAAGTATCTAATTTCATTTTGATTCTCCATATACTCATAGAATAAAAAAGCTTAGCGCTTTTCATATTTAAGCTAATCATGGAATTTTTAAGTCTTAAATCATGCAAATGTAACCCACACAATCTGTTTTCTGAAGGTAATATTGGTATCCTAAATATTAATTACATAAATGAATATAGTGTTACTAGAGACTTATGAATTGTTACAATGAATGTTCTGTTACAGTGAATGTTCTTCATAGGCTCAAAGTTCCTTGGTTTTAATTGTATATTACTGACTTAGTGAATAGATTGTATGACTTGACCTTTAGCTGGGGAAATTGAGAAACTCACTTAGGTTTTCTGAGTATTAGTTTTATACCTGTGAGATTAAAAGACTAGATTATTTCCTTTTTGTGCATGTAATACGCAGCTGTTTAAAAGCATCCTTTTAAGACAATAAAAATAAAGTATGGAGGATAATATAATCACTATGTACACATCCACTCCCAAATTATCAAATGGTAGTATTTTGTCTTTACAAAGTATATACATAGCTAGAGCCCTCATGTAGATCTGTTGAATTTCTTGAAATTAAAAAAAAAATTGAAATTCACTTTCTACTATTCTGATTCCATTCCCTCCCAGCCTCCTTGTCTAGGGGCAAGCACTTATGAATTTGGTGCATATTTTCCAATTTATGCAATTATATTGTGATAGTCATTAAAGCTGTTCACAAATTCTTGTTCTTTTTCTTCTGAGCACAAGGTAAGATGGTACTTACCTGCGCCACTTTGAAGTTGAGAGTGGACTTGTAATTTGCTTGTTGATGAATGAAGTGAGAGTGGAAATGACATGTATCCCTTCCAGGTGAAAGATTTCAGAACCTGCATGTGATTTCCTGCTCACACTTCCCTATGCTAAAGTAATTGGGGAAGGTAACAGAACCTTTTTCAACCTAGGTCTCAGAGTGACTATAATGAGCAAAATGTCCTTCCTTCCTTACCTTCAGCATGGGATATGCAGCATGAATCAGATGAAGGCCTTTTGTTTTGTTATGCCATTGAGATTGTGTTGCGCGGAAGTTTGTTACCACAGTGTCTTGACTAACCTGTAATTTTACCGTATGTACCTATATATAATTAATGGTAGTCTCTGTTTTAAGCTTTTTCATACATGGTATTCTAATATATATTTCATTTAGCAAACTTGCCTTTTTTTTCGGGTTAGCTCAGTGTTGTTTTTCAGATCTTTCCACATTGATATATATAACTCAGGTTCACTGATTTAAGCTACTACATATAATTATCATGTGAATTTATTACAGTTAATGTATTTGTTACTGATTGGCATTCAGGAAGCTTTACCTTTCTCAGTATTTCAAACAGTGATGCAATGAATAGCCCTTTAGTTGACTACTAATATACATTTCAACGCTTTCTCTGTAACTGAAGCTCTGAGTCATAGGTGTGCACAATTTCAGTGTTACTAGATATTGACAACGGGATTAGAGGTAGCAGCCTTCACAGCTCACACAGAGCCAGGAATAGTGCTATTCCCACTAGTCAGGATGATAAACCTCATAATTCATGGGGCATCAGAAGGAATAATCAAAAAGTTTTTGTCTCAGGAATGGGAAAAATTAACTCGAGACAATGATGCTCTTGTCCTACCTAACGAAACTTAAAAACGAGACCTGAACGGATCAGAGTGCTTCCTCATAACTTAACCATATCCTGGAACAAAACTCAAGAATATTTATATGTGTCCAAAACATCTGACACCCAACAAAATAAAATGTACGGTGTCAGACATCCAATAAAAAAGTAGCAGACATGATGAAGAAGCAGGAAAACCTAACAAAAATCAATCAAAACTGGTCTAGAATCAACACAGATGAATTAATAAAAATGGACATTAAAGCAGTTTTTATAATAGTCTTCCATATGTATAAGAAGTTATAGTAAGATTGAACATGGTAAATAGAAACATGGAAGATATAAAATATCCAAATCAAACATCTGGAGATGAAAATTACAACATCTGACATGAAATACACTGGATAGGATTAATGGCAGAATAGACGTTGTGGAAGAAAAAATTAGTGAACTTGAAAACAATGATATAAATGATCCAAAATGAAACACAGAGAGAAAAAAGACTGTAAAACATGAACAGAGTATCAGTGAACTGTGGGACAGCTTCAAGAACAATTAGAGTCCGTGGGGGTAGGAATAGTTAAAAAAAAAATTAAAGAATTAGTGGCTGAAAAGTTTTCAAATTTTGATGAAAATTCTAATCCCAGAAATCCACAGAGCTCAACCAACTTCAAGTACAAAAGCATGAAGAAAACTACAAGGTATGTTGTAATCAAATTGCTTACAGTTAGTGATAGAATATCTTAAAAGTAGCCAGAAAAAAAGTATACATCATTAATACATTTAGTAGGACAAAGATTAAGATGATCATAGATCTTGGAAACAACACAAGCGAGAAGACTGTAGGGTAACATCTTTTCATTCTTTACCAAAAGAAAAAAAAACAACAACAGGTCAGCATAGAATTCTTTACCTATTGAAAATATCTTTCAGAAACAGTGATGAAATAGAGATGTTTTTCAGTCATACAAAAGCTAAAAGAATCATCTCCATTAGACTTGCACTGTAAGAAATACTTAAGGAAGTTCTACAAGCAGGAAGAAAATTATAGATGGAAATCTGGACCTACCCAACAAAATGATGAATACCTGATATGGTCATTATGTGGGTAAAGACTTTTTTCTTAATATTAAAATATCTTTAAAATATAATTGACTGTTAAAAGCAAAAATAATAATATTACATCGTGAGATTTGTAACACATGTAGAAATAAAATATATAACGGCAATAATACAAAGGCTGGGAGAGGAGAAATGGGATTGCACTGTTTTCAGTCTGTTATACAGTACATGAAGTGGTGTGATACCATTTGAAAGTTGACTGTGATAAGTTAAAGATATATACTGTAAACCTTAAATCACCAGTTAAAATCACACAACACAGAAATCATTAATTGTATTAAATGATTTTGCCTTGGATTTTGGGACCTATGGTATTTGTGGAAGCATGTATAATTAATAACTCAATTGATAAAAGATGGTTACAGTTCTAAACTATAACCTTGCAACCAGAGATTTCTGTGGTAGATATGAGTAAAATATTATAGTAAAATAGGATACATTAGGGGAAAAAGTTTTGGCACATGCTTGCCTTCAAATTGGACCCAATAATAAACTAAATAGTAGACCATGCAATGACTTTTAAAAGAATTGGGACCAATTGTGGGATATTTAAATTTCACAGGGAAAATAATAATATAATTAATCCCAAATTCCCTTCCAGCCTTTTTTCTGTAGAGTGACATCTACCATTTCCATGAGAACCAGTGTGTGAATTTATTTATTTATTTATTTTTTTAGAGAATTTGTGCTCTTGGTAAAACATGGAAGAAGCTATAGAACAGAAAATGTGACCTCCTTTCCCTACTGCCTGAACTTTTAAATTTATTTCATTATGTTATTTAAATTCTTCCATAAAACCTGAGTTGAGCAAATGCAGATACCTAAGAAAAGGAAAAAGAGATTTTCAGTTTTAAATTTAGTTGATTTATATATGCATTTATTTATTCATTCATCTGACGCAAAACTTCTACCATACGTCACGTACTAAGATAGTTGGTGGAATACATTCATTAGTAATTTAGGGAGCTCACAGTTTAGTAGGGTAGCAGGCATCTAAGCAAATAGATTATGATGTGATGTGATCTATGCAATAATCCGAGCAATGTTCAAGATAGAGAGGTATAAAAAAATAACTCTAAGAGAGGACCTGGGAAGGCTTCCTGGAGATCATCATGGAGTAATGCATGGACTGAATTTGAAAATCAGCTAAAAGGTTCCAGGTATTCTAAGGTATGGGGAGTGATGTTATAGGCAGGGGAATTAAATGTGTGATATATGGATACCTGAAATAACTGGATCTCTACAGGGAGCTGCAAATATTTCAGTGTTCTTGGAGAATAAAGAGCTATTGTGGAAGGGAGGAAGTATGGCAGTTAATGAGGCTGGAGTTAGATATAATGGGCATTGTAAAGTGTGATTAACAACCTGGCACTTGGCTTTTTCTGTGAGTAATAGCAAACCTTTGCATTTAAGGCGGTAAACAGGCACAATTAAACTTCTGTTTTTTAGAGATCACTTTATTGTCACTGTGGAGAAAGGATTAAAAAAAGGAAAAGCTAGAGGAATGAAGAAAGGGAAGTGGATTCAAGACCCATTAGACGAGTGGAATTTGAGGATTCCTTTTATATGGGAAATGAGGGAGACAAAGTTTAGGTTAATTCCCAGGTTTCTGATTTGTGAGTATTGTGTGACCAGCTAAAATAGGGAGTAAAGGAAAATGAGAAATATTAGGATTTCTTTAAATTATACTTTAAGTTCTGGGGTACTTGTGTAGAATGTGCAGGTTTGTTACATAGGTATACATGTGCCATGGTGGTTTGCTGCACCCATCAACCTGTCATCTACATCAGGTATTTCTCCTAATGCTCTCCCTCCCCACACCACACTCCCTGACAGGCCCCGTTGTGTGATGTGCCCGTCTCTGTGTCCATGTGTTCTCATTGTTCACCTCCCACTTATGAGTGAGAACATGCAGTGTTTGGTTTTCTGTTCTTGTGTTAGTTTGCTGAGAATGATGGTTTCCAGCTTCATCCATGTCCCTGCAAAGGACATGAACTCATCCTTTTTTATGACTGCATAGTATTCCATGGTGTGTATGTGACACATTTTCTTTATTCAGTCTATCATTGATGGATATTTAGGTTGGATCCAAGTCCTTGCTATTGTAAATAGTGCTGCAGTAAACATACGTGCACATGCGTCTTTATAGTAGAATGATTTATAATCCTTTGGGTATATACCCAGTAATGGGATTGCTGGGTCAAATGGTATTTCTAGTTCTAGATCCTTGAGGAATTGCCACACTGTCTTCCACAATGGTTGAATGAATTTACACTCCCACCAACAGTGTAAAAGTGTTCTTATTTCTCCAAATCCTCTCTAGCATTTGTTGTTTCCTGACTTTTTAATGATTGCCATTTTAACTGGCGTGAGATGGTATCTCACTGTGGGTTTTGATTTGCATTTCTCTGATGACCAGTGATGATGAGCATTTTTTCATGTTTGTTGGCTGCATAAATATCTTCTTTTGAGAAGCATCTGTTCATATCCTTTGCCCACTTTTTGATGGGGTTGGGTTTTTTCTTGTAAGTTTGTTTAAGTTCTTTGTAGATTCTAGATATAAGTCCTTTGTCAGGTGGATAGATTGCAAAAATTTTCTCCCATTCTGTAGGTTGCCTGTTCACTGTGCTGATAGTTTCTTTTGCTGTGCAGAAGCTCTTTAGTTTAATTAGATCCTATTTGTCAATTTTGGCTTTTGTTGCCATTGCTTTTGGTATTTTAGTCGTGAAGTCTTTGCCCATACCTATGTCCTGAATGGTATTGCCTAGGTTTTCTTCTAGGCTTTTTATTTTTTGATCTTACGTTTAAGTCTTTAATCCACCTTGAGTTAATTTTTGTATAAGGTGTAAGAAAGGGATCCAGTTTCAGCTTTCTGCATATGGCTAGCCAGTTTTCCCAACACCCTTTCTTAAATCGGGAATGCTTTCCCCATCACTTGTTTTGGCAGGTTTGTCAAAGATCAAATGGTTGTAGATGTGTGGTGTTATTTCTGAGGCCTCTGTTCTGTTCCATTGGTCTATATATCTGTTTTGGTACCAGTACCATGCTGTTTTGGCTACTGTAGCCTTGTAGTGTAGTTTGAAGTCAGGTAGCATGATGTTTCCAGCTTTGTTCTTTTTGCTTAGGATTGTCTTGGCTGTGCAGGCTCTTTTTTGGTTCCATGTGAAATTTAAAGTAGTTTTTTCCAATTCTGTGAAGAAAGTCAATGGTAGTTTGATGGGGATAGTATTGAATCTATAAATTACTTTGGGCAGTATGGCCATTTTTACGATGTTGATTCTTCCTATCCATGAGCATGGAATGTTTTTCCATTTCTTTGTGTCCCCTCTTATTTCCTTGAGCAGTGGTTTGTAGTTCTCCTTGAAGAGGTCCTTCACATCCCTTGTAAGTTGGATTCCTAGATATTTTATTCTCTTTGTAGCAATTGTGAATGGGAGTTTCCTCATGATTTGGCTCTCTGTTAGTCTGTTATTGGTGTTTAGGAATGCTTGTGATTTTTGCACATTGATTTTGTATTCTGAGACTGCTGAAGTTTCTTATCAGCTTAAGGAGATTCTGGCCTGAGACGATGGGGTTTTCTAAATATACAATCATGTCATCTGCAAACAGAGACAATTTGACTTCGTCTTTTCCTAATTGTTTTATTTTTGTTTTTGTTTTTTGGCAGAGAGAGGATGAGAATTGTGAGTTATGTTTGGGAGTCAATATGAAGATGTATGTGGCGCTAAAGGTTAGAAACATGGGTTTGGGGGTTATAATGGTATAGGAGGCCTTTTGCAAGTCCTCAGATGAGGTTATTTTGCTCATTGCTTTCATAGCCCCTCATACTGCCCCTTTGGTGACACCACATTTGTAACTCTTTGTTAAACATCTGGCTTCCCCTATTAGATTGTGAGCTCTGTGTTGAAAGGGATCTTACCTGTTCTGTCCACCAAAACATTTCCAGTGCCAAACTTGGTATCTGGCACATGATACAGAATACATGGGAATGGGCATGATTGCCCCCAGAGGAAGAGGGTGTAGAGTGAGAAAAAAGATATTCAGCAGCCACACATTGAGTAACATGTGGCCACACAGGTGTTACTCTATGTGACTCTGCCAGGAAGGCGCCCCAAGGAGTACTACCTTACAGGTGTGAGTGGAGGACAGAGAGCTAGCAAAGGAAATAGAGAAAAGAGCTTGGATAGTTATAAGGTGAATCAAGAAAGAGTACATCCAGATGGAAAGTTAAGAAAGGCCTAGTGCGGTGGCTCAGGCCTATAATCCCAGCACTTTGGGAGGTTGAGGTTGGTGGATCACTTGAGGTCAGGAGTTCGAGATCAGCTTGACCAACATGGCGCAACCTCGTCTCTACTAAAAATACAAAAATTAGCCAGGTGTGGTGGCAGGCCCTGTAGTCCCAGCTGCTTGGGAGGCTGAGGCAGGAGAATGGCTTGAACTTGGGAGGCAGAGGTTGTGGTGAGCTGAGATCGGCACCACTGCACTCCAGCCTGGGCAACAGAGTCAGACTCTGTCTCAAAAAAAAAAAAAAAAAGAAAAAAGAAAGTAGAAAGAGAATGATTTATAGGTTCAAATGCCCTGAGAATTCAAATTAAATATGACCTGAGATTTTATGGGCTGATATGGGAACATAACCAGTATTTACAAACTGTTGTTGGCTCGTTTATTTGTTTTAGGGAAACAGAATTAAATGGTATTTTATGTCAGCATAAGGCGAAAAGACATAGAATCAAAATCAAGCCTTTTAAAAAAGGTTGTTAGAAACTAAGAGGTAGTCTCTCAATAAGGGCAGTAAAGCCATTTTTTTCTCATTTTTTGGAAAAGAGATGTTGGAACAGTTAGCTGTTCCTTTGGCAATAGTTTTCTTGCATGTGGGGCATGTGTTAAATAAAAAATGTGTTTCTTTAAATGTTAGCATCACACTCAGTATGGTGAGACACTGTTACTCTGAGAGCCGCATGGCACTAAGACCAATTGAGGGTAGGGCAGTTGAGTGAAATGACAGGCAGAATTGCCCATGCTACTTAAATTACATCTCTGTCTCTTGCTATATCCATATTTGCTGTATACAACATATTGTCATGCAGTTCTAATTGAATTTGGGTAAATTAGATGTTCATATGGAAGTAACTTCACTATATATTTCAGAGGGAGAGGGGGAAGAACTTGTAGAGAGCAATTTATTTGTAATTTGTGGATTGCTATGTATTTTTTTAATGGGGGCTTTAAACTTTTCCTATAAAATTGCTCAAAACCTTTTATATTCTTTTATTACAAAAGGTAAACACATTGATATGGTTAAAATGTAATTTTACCAGATATGAATGTATATAATATTTCTTCGACCTAGAATTTGTATTTGTATTATGTTTCTGGTTATATAAATTGTCATATGCATTTGTTGCTTGATGCTGGAACAACTTCATTAGATAGGACAGATTATATTTATTGTTTTATGAATATTCAAGATCTTGTCTTAAGATCAGAATCCTGTAATCTTTTCATTTTATATTATTCATCAAAAGTGTACCAAATTATAAGCGTCTGTGTGTTATATCAATCTAATTTGATATTAAGGAAATACATAAATTGGAGAAAGAAATGGCCTCCTTTATACATTTTGATGTTTTTGCTGTACCTTCATTTTTTCAGGTCCTTGCTGTCAAATAGGGTCTTTTAGAACTCTTTCTAGGAAGAAAGAAAGATTTTGTAATTTCATTTTTATTTCAGTGAAGTTTTATATAAAGCCTTCATAAAATTTTATATCACAGGTTTTTAGGTGGGAGGAGATCAAATATGTGTGCAATTGGAAAAGATTACCAAAAACCCCCCAGAATATTGTCAGATTAGGAGTGAAACTCCTAATATATTATTAGGATTAGTGAAACTCCTAATATAATCCCTGTACTTTCTATTTTGGGTTACTGTTGATGAAGTTAGTTTAATGGAGGTGTCAGCATTAAAAAACACAGTGAAATAGAATAAAAAATATCACAATGCATTGCATATAGTAGGGGTATTAACTCATAATTTTGTTTCAGAAAAATGTATGTTTATGTGTACCAGGTCACAGAAGTAAGATGTATTTCTTACTGTGTTTTCAATTACTGTGTTTTCACTGGCCTAGAAAACTCTTTAATTTGTTTTGTTATCTTCCAGCTTTTGTTACCTTATTGAATGGGGAACAAGCCCAGAATGCAATTCAGATGTTTCATCAATATTCTTTTAGAGGAAAAGACTTAATAGTCCAGCTTCAGCCAACAGATGCTTTGCTGTGTATTACCAACCTGCCCATTTCTTTTACATTAGAAGAGTTTGAAGAACTTGTTCGTGCTTATGGAAATATTGAGAGATGTTTTCTGGTCTATAGCGAAGTTACTGGCCATTCCAAAGGCTATGGATTTGTGGAATACATGAAAAAGGACTTTGCTGCAAAGGCTAGATTGGAGCTATTGGGTAAACAGTTGGGAGCATCAGCACTCTTTGCACAATGGATGGATGTTAATCTATTGGCTTCAGAGCTCATTCATTCTAAGTGCCTTTGTATTGATAAACTCCCCAGTGACTACAGGGATTCAGAAGAGCTGTTGCACATTTTTTCCAGTGTCCATAAACCTGTATTTTGCCAGGTAGGTATTTTTAAGAGATTATTGGAAATATTTTAAAATATATACATATGTATTTAATCTACATACACTCACAGATTTATCATGCCTGTATGATTAACACAATGGATAATTTAACTCTGCATTATTCTGTAGGGAAGACTTTGATCTCATGGGAAATTTTAAATCAGTTCCTCTGTTTATGGGCCAAAGTATATTGTTCTGTAGTTAAGTATGCCTTAGCAAATCCATTGCTTACTCATTCACCTCATTCCATCCATTCGTCACTCCATTTTTCCATCAATCCATTCATCTATCCAACTTCTATTTACCATCTTCTGTGTGCCAGACACTATGCCAAGTGTCGGAAAGGCAGAGAATGGAAAGATACTCTATCTCAATGCCTCACAGTTTTATAGAAGAGACGGGCAAGTAAGCAAATAATTGCAAATCCTATATGAAGAGTGATGTAATGGAGGATAGAAAAGTATTATGAAGTTTAAAAGGAATGTGTAGCTCTATCTTAATGTGGTCACGGTAGGTTAGACATCTAGAGAAGATCCTGAAAACTGATAACACTGGCAAGACTTTTCAAGCAGTTTATTATAGTAAAATTAAATGCATTCTAATAAATAAATAAATATATATACTATATATAACTCTTTTCCTTACAGTTTTGATGGCAACTGATCAATTGTTTCTCTCGTTTTTCTCCATTTGTTCCTTCTCCCTTTTCCCTTTTACTGCACTCCCTTCCCATCCATGCTCCTTTTCCTCTTACCTCTCTTGTTTCCTCTCCTCCTTTGTATTTTTCTTTAATCATACATTTGTTGATTTCCTAGTATTGCAGTAAAAATTTTGGAGTTGGAGTACCTATCTATATATGTATATAATTAAATATTTAATATTAAATATATTAAAATATATATGTTTATTATTTAACTTGATAGTTAAAATTGTATTTATCATGTATAACATGATGTTTTGAAGTATATCTACATTGTGGAATGGCTAAATCGAGCTAATTAACATGTGTATTACCTCACATAGTTATCATTTTTGTGGTAAGAACACTTAACATCCACTCTTGTAGCATTTTTCAAGAATACAATATGTTGTTATTAACTGTAGTCATCATGTTGTCCAAAAGATCTTTTGAACCTGTTTCTCTTATCCAACTGAAACGTTGCATCCTTTGACCAGTATCTCCCCAAGCAGCGACACAAATCGCCCCAGCCCCTAGTATCCACTATTCTACACTATACTTCTATGAGATCAACTTTTTAAGCTTCCACACATGGGTGAAATTTTACAGTAATATATATTTTTAACAATTTTTTTGTGACAGGGTCTTTCTCTGTTGCCCAGGCTGGAATCATGGCCCACAGTAGTCCCACACTCCTGGGTTCAAGCGATCTTACCTCAGCCTCCCAAGTAGCTAGGACTACAAGTCCACATCACTATGCCCAACTATTTTTTAGTTTTCTTTTTTTTCTAGTAGAGACTGGGTCTCGCTATATTGCCAGGCTGGTCTCAAACTCCTGGGCTCAAGTGATCCTCCTGCGTTGGCCTCCCAAAGCTCTAGGATTAGCTTATTGATATGTTCTTCTTGAATACTAAGAATTTTATAATGTTGTCATCCTGTGGCCTTTGAGGCCTTTGAAACAAATGTAAAGAGAAAAGCCATTTATCATTAATTGTATTTGAATTGTGAACCCCAGGGTTGGAAGAGCCCTTAGAGATTATCTAGTATAGCTTTACATGTCATAGAAAATATTTGCTACCGTTTTTTTGAGTGACCATTTAGCTTCTGCTAAAATACTTCAAAAGAGTGGAAAATTAACTAGATCACAAGTCAGACCATTGTGTCATTGAATGACTCTCATGTTGAACTGAAATAGCCGTCTCTGAAACTGCTGATGCTGTGGACTTAAAATGATTTTGTTTTTTGAAAGACTTAAAATATCATAATTTATACCGGCATGAAGATAATTATAATGAAATAGAATAATAAAAAACTTTTTAAAGTTTTCAAAAGATTAATAAAGCAGCTTTGGGATGGTTCTTTATCAGTGGGTCTGTTGACTTTAGGCTCTTTTGCATGGTAGGTTGGCATAGACTGTATTAAAGACACAGCCTTTTACCTTGTGGTCAAGAGACCAAAATGATTAATTAATGGCTTTTACAAACTTGATTTTAAGACCTGGCTTGGATTATAAGAGGAATAGGGTTGTTAGAGAAATGTTTACAAGCCGGGCGCGGTGGCTCAAGCCTGTAATCCCAGCACTTTGGGAGGCCGAGACGGGCAGATCACGAGGTCAGGAGATCGAGACCATCCTGGCTAACACGGTGATACCCCATCTCTACTAAAAAATACAAAAAAAAACTAGCCGGGCGTGGTGGCGGCGCCTGTAGTCCCAGCTACTCGGGAGGCTGAGGCAGGAGAATGGCGGGAACCCGGGAGGTGGAGCTTGCAGTGAGCTGAGATCCGGCCACTGCACTCCAGCCTGGGCGACAGAGCCAGACTCCGTCTCAAAAAAAAAAAAAAAAAAAGAGAAATGTTTACAAAGAGGTAGATGTTTTTCCTTTACCTGTGTGATTGGAAAAAGCTTTGGGTAGGAAAAGATATTTGATGACAGTTTTTAAAGGAAGAAATAATGTGAAGGAAAAGATAGAAATCTGATCTAAATATACAAGGAAGTAGAAGAAAGATAAGCTTCAAAAACAAGAGAAAAGAAACTGAGAAGGACTGAGAAGTGATTTAGTTGTAATATCAGCTTATGAGATGGCAAACCCAAATAGAAGTATTGGAAATGTGTCTTCTCAAAGACATACTAAGCTGAATTTTGTCATTTATCACTTTATAGCGTGAATGTATTTAAGATAATTCAGACGCGTTCAAAACCTAGAAACGTTTTAGTGTCTTATCTTGTTCTTATTTTTGCTCTTTGTACCAGTCTTTTCAGATCCAGGACTTTAGTATCTTCCTTTACAGTCTTACAGGTGGGTGACTGGAAATAAATCGAGTTCTACATGGCAGGAGTTTATTTAGAGCACATTCAGAAATAAAAGTTGTGTGTTGCTTTTAATAAACCTGGGACACAGTTTTCCTAAATAAGATTTGCCTTGGTATACTTGACTAAGTCAATTCCTGGGATCTGCCTAAAATAGTGACATAAAAATGAAATGTTCTTCTTACCTTCTCTTGATAATACTAACTTTATTTTCCATTGATGTGTGGTCAAATAATTTGTTCAGTATGTTTCACTGTCCATGTACCTGGTGATTTTCTTTTAAGGAAAGCTGTAATTATTGTGTCCTCATATTTTCCTATAAATTAACAGTTTATATGTTTCTTAATATGTAGAGACTATTGCCATTTGGGCTTTTACTGTTGAAATAAATAATGAAATCAAAGAATTGAATAGAAACTTGACAGACTCCTATCTTCCTGTCTTCAGGAAGAAGTACATCTCAGCAATTAGTAAACATTTTCATAAAGAAAGAATACATTATTTCCACCAGTATCATGCTCCAATGCACTTGTTCTTGAATTTGAAAATTATATATTGTAAATAAATGTTTCTAAGTAAAGATCAGAATTACTGTTTAATAGAATGTATTGTATCAGCTTGCACAGGATGAAGGTAATTACGTTGGTGGCTTTGCAGTGGTCGAATATAGCACTGCGGAGCATGCTGAAGAGGTCCAGCAGGCAGCAGATGGTATGACCATCAAGGGCAGCAAAGTCCAGGTTTCCTTCTGTGCCCCCGGAGCGCCAGGGCGAAGTACATTAGCAGCATTGATAGCAGCTCAACGTGTGGTAAGTTTTTTCTCTTTCTTTCTCTTTTTTTAGAGTATAGAAAATTCTAATACTATTTTAATCTATCCAATCTAGCAAAAGTAATTGATTGTCGAGTGCACTATCATTGCGTTTCCATCACACTGAAGACTTTTCCTTTTTTAAAAAAAGTTAGTTAAATGGTTTCTTTGTTAAGTCAAGCCAGAAGTCATTACCAAAACAAGAAATTGTGTTTAGTAAAGTGTATTTATCTTGAGAAATTTTCGAAGGAATTCCATTTATTCAGCAAATATTGACTTTCTCTTGTGTTCTAAATTTTGAGTGTAACATGCCTCCTTTTTCTTTTTCTTTTCTTTTTTAAGTTTTGAGATGGAGTTTCACTCTTTCACCCAGGCTGGAGTGCAGTGGCGCGATCTTGGCTCACTGCAGCCTCTGCCTCCTGGGTTCAAGCAATTCTTCTGCCTCAGTCTCCCAAGTAGCTGGGACTACAGTCACATGCCACCAGGCCCGGCTAATTTTGTATTTTTAGTAGAGACAGGGTGTTGGCCAGGCTGGTCTCGAACTCCTGACCCCAGGTGATCTGCTCACCTCAGCCTCCCAAAGTGCTGGGATTACAGGCGTGAGCCACCGCACCCAGCGGCCTCTTTTTTCAAGAAGTTTTCAGAGGAAAGTACATGTCTGCTTTTTGCTTACGTGGCACATTGTACTTACTTCTTTATAGTAACTGTCTACTCATTCTTCTCTACTTCTATAGCCTGGAGGATCCTTGGAGATGGAGACTATACCTTCTTCACAGTTTCTACCCTAGTACTTAGCATAGTAAATATTTGTTAACTGAATGAAGGAAGGAATACATTTTTGAAGGAATTGGGAAAGACTTTATGCTGAAGGTGACATTTGAGTGTGACATTAACGAATGGATGAGATGTTGACTTGTGTTGATGAGAAGTGAATAGGATTGCCAGAGAAATACAGATTTTTGCTTGAGATACTTACACTAAAATAATCATTCATTGTTTATCTGAACTTCAAATTTAACTGCACATTCTGTATTTTGACTTGCTACATCTGGCAACCCTAAAGAGGGAAAGTGAGTAGCCACTCTAGGTGGAACAGAACTACTCACACAGTGGTATGAGCTGAATTTACATGCTTGAGGAGTGGTAAGTGGTCTGGTTGCAGAGTGAATATGAGGATGCTTGGAGGTTGGCTAATGCCAAAACAAGGGAGACTATTGAGTACTCAGCCAATTACATAGGTATACATGTGCTGTGTTGGTTTGCTGTACCCATCAACTCATCATTACACTGGGCATTTCTCCCAATGCTATCACTCCCCCAGCCCCCCACCTCTCGACAGCCCCAGTGTGATGTTCCCTGCCCTGTGTCCATGTGTTCTCATTGTTCTATTCCCACCTATGAGTGAGAACATGTGGTGTTTGGTTTTCTGTCCTTGTGTTAGTTTGCTGAGAATGATGGTTTCCAGTTTCATCCATGTCCCTGCAAAGGACATGAACTCATCCTTTTTTATGGCTGCATAGTATTCCCTGCAGACGTTTTCTTTTTTTTTTTTTTTTTTTAATTATTATTATACTTTAAGTTCTAGGGTGCATGTGCATAACGTGCAGGTTTGTTACATATGTATACTTGTGCCATGTTGGTGTGCTGCACCCATCAACTCGTCAACACCCATCAACTCGTCATTTACATCAGGTGTAACTCCCAGTGCAATCCCTCCCCCCTCCCCCCTCTCCATGATAGGCCCCGGTGTGTGATGTTCCCCTTCCCAAGTCCAAGTGATCTCATTGTTCAGTTCCCACCTATGAGTGAGAACAAGCGGTGTTTGGTTTTCTGTTCTTGTGATAGTTTGCTAAGAATGATGGTTTCCAGCTGCATCCATGTCCCTACAAAGGACACAAACTCATCCTTTTTTATGGCTGCATAGTATTCCATGGTGTATATGTGCCACATTTTCTTAATCCAGTCTGCCACTGATGGACATTTGGGTTGATTCCGAGTCTTTGCTATTGTGAATAGTGCCGCAATAAACATACGTGTGCATGTGTCTTTATAGCAGCATGATTTATAATCCTTTGGGTATATACCCAGTAATGGGATGGCTGGGTCATATGGTACATCTAGTTCTAGATCCTTGAGGAATCGCCATACTGTTTTCCACAATGGTTGAACTAGTTTACAATCCCACCAACAGTGTAAAAGTGTTCCTATTTCTCCACATCCTTTCCAGCACCTGTTGTTTCCTAACTTTTTAATGATTGCCCTTCTAACTGGTGTGAGATGGTATCTCATTGTGGTTTTGATTTGCATTTCTCTGATGGCCAGTGATGATGAGCATTTTTTCATGTGTCTGTTGGCTGTATGAATGTCTTCTTTTGAGAAATGTCTGTTCATATCCTTTGCCCACTTTTTGATGGGGTTGTTTGTTTTTTTCTTGTAAATTTGTTTGAGTTCTTTGTAGGTTCTGGATATTAGCCCTTTGTCAGATGAGTAGATTGCAAAAATTTTCTCCCATTCTGTAGGTTGCCTGTTCACTCTGATGGTAGTTTCTTTTGCTGTGCAGAAGCTCTTTAGTTTAATGAGATCCCATTTGTCAATTTTGGCTTTTCCTGCAGACGTTTTCTTAATCCAGTCTATCGCTGATGGACATTTGGGTTAGCCCCAAGTCTTTGCTATTGTGAATAGTGCCGCAATAAACATACGTGTGCATGTGTCTTTATAGTAGAATGATTTATAATCCTTTGGGTATATACCCAGTAATGGGATGGCTGGGTCAAATGGTATTTCTAGTTCTAGATCCTTGGGGACTTGCCACACTGTCTTCTACAGTGGTTGAACTAATTTACACTCCCACCAACAGTGTAAAAGCATTCCTATTTCTCCACATCCTCTCCAGCATCTGTTGTTTCCTGACTTTTCAATGATCATCACTCTAACTGGCGTGAGACCATATCTCACTGTGATTTTGATTTGCATTTCTCTGATGACCAGTGATGATGAGCAGTTTTTCATGTGTCTGTTGGCTGCATAAATGCCTTCTTTTGAGAAGTGTCTGTTCATACCCTTTGCCCACTTTTTGATGGGGTTGATTTTTTTCTTGTAAATTTGTTTAAGTTTTTTGTAGATTCTGGATGTATTAGCCCTTTGTCAGATGGGTAGACTGCAAAATTTTTCTCCTGTTCTGTAGGTTGCCTGTTCACTCTGATGGTAGTTTCTTTTAATGCCCTAGAAGAAAATCTAGGCCGTACCATTCAGGACATAGGCATGGGCAAAGACTTCATGACTAAAACACCAAAAGCAATGGCAACAAAAGCCAAAATAGACAAATGGGATCTAATTAAACTAAAGAGTTTTTGCACAGCAAAAGATACTGGGGTTTATAACCAGAGTTGCTTGAAGAATTAGGCCTCACTTGTTGTCACCATTTCTTAATTTCCCATTTCCCTCTCAAGTCTAATGCAATGTAGTTTCTGCCTCCACTATTCAAGTGAATCTGTTCTCATTAAGTTAATGCGGGTTTTTAAATATTCAGATCTAGTGATTACATTTCAGTCTTTTATTGGTTGGTCCCTTTGCAACATTTAAAACCTTCTACTGACTGGGCACGGTGGCTCATGCCAGTAATCCAAGCACTTTGGGAGGCCAAGGTGGGAGGATTGTTTGAACCCAGGAGCTCGAGACTAGTCTGGGAAACATGGTGAAGCCCCTGTCTCTATATAAAGTTAGCTAGACTTAGTGGTTTGCACCTGTTAGTCCCAGCTACTTGGGAGGCTGAGGTGGGAGAATAACCTGAGCCCAGGAGTTTGAGGCTACAGTGAGCTGTGATTATACCACTGCACTCCAGCCTGGGTGACAAAGCAAGACCCTGTCTCAAAAACAAAACAAAAAAAACTCTCTACTACCTTGAATTCTGCCACACCATTCATTTTCCTATCTGCCTGTGTGTTCTTTCCCTAACTTATTTTTCCCCCTAAGAGCTGATATCAGTAGATTTCCGTATTTGGCCTTCTCATTTTCTTCCTGTTTTATATGCCTATTAGTGATTACTTCCAAGCATATAATTTCAGACCAAACTGCTCTTAGTACTAAATTAATATATCCAAAGGATTCTTAGACATTCCCACTTCATGCTATGTAAATAGTTCAGTTTCACCATTTCAAAGAAGACTATTTTTTTCTGGGACTTGCTTTTCTATGTTCTGTAATATCTATATATGGCATCAGTTCATCCAAACTAAAACTATGTGAATCAAAAACTCAGTTAATTGTGATTGGTCTCCCTCACCCACTTTCTAATGTAAATGTCAGAAATACTAGCACATCATTTCAATTTCACCTCCTAAGATCTCTCAAATCCTTGGGACCTTGTCAGCATCTTGATTACTTCACTCAGAATCTTATCTTTTCTCACCTCTCTGATTAGAATAATTCCCTACGTGGTCCCATGTCATTAGTCTTTCCCCTTCTAATCCATCTTGCACAGTGCACAGGAGAGATCTTTCTCATCCTCAAATCAGCTTATGTCATTCTCTTGCTTAATATTCTTTAATGCCTGCTTAAGTTCACCTTCCTTAGCATGGCATGCAGGCCCTTTACGGTCAGATAGTAGTGACAGTGAGAAATCTCAGTCTTAAAAATAAGGTATTCTAGATAACGTTTTCTATAGGTTTTTGGTACATATCCTTTGGAAATACCAAGTTTTCTGAGTTTTTTTTAATATCATAAATAGGTGCTGAACTTTATCAGAATATTTCTACAACTATTGAGATAATCGTGATTTCTTCTTAAGTTCATTAGTGTCGTTTGAGAGTTACACATTCTATCTTTATCCTGCTGGTGATTGTCCCTGTCCCTAACTTTTTTTTTTTTTTTAAATAGAGTCTTGCTTTGTTGTTCAGGCTGGAGTGCGTGGCACAATCTTGGCTCACTGCAACCTCTGCCTGCCAGGTTCAAGTGATTCCCGTGACTCAGCCACCTGAGTAGCGGAATTACAGGCATGCACCACCATGTCCAGCTAATTTTTGTATTTTTAGTAGAGACAGGGTTTCACCATGTTGGCCAGACGGGTCTTGAACTCCTGACCTCAAGCGATCTGCCTACCTCAGCCTCCCGAAGTGCTGGGATTACAGGGGTGAGCCACTGTGCCCGGCCAATTGTCCCTAACTTTTTAACATGCATAGGTTTATCAGAACTTCTGTCTACCCACTTATTCTCACCTCCATCTGCTTCCTCCTTCCTACCATACCTATCATCATATTGGTGTCTACATTTTTACATTAGGATAGTCTTAAATGTTTTTGGGTGGTTTTTATGGTTGTGTCTTTGTATATAAGATTAAAATTACGATATTGTATGCCTCAATTTCAACATATTATATAATAACATCTTGCATTTATTTCTTTTCTCGCTGGATTACTTCCTCCTAGGACATTTCGAAAGATGGTATTCTTGTGGTAAAAACTTGAGAACTTGTATAGTTGAGAATATTTTTATTTATTTGTGATATTAAATAACTTAGATGAATTTAAAAATCTAGGCTCAGAGTTCTTTTCTTACAATACTTTGAAAATATTAATTCATTATCTTCTTGAATCTAATGTTGATGCTTTGAGAAAGAAGATTATATTGGTTTGTTCCTTGTTCCTTTAGAGATATGTTCTTTTTAAATGGAAGCTTTTAGAAGGTTTTCTGTTGTTGTTATTGGCTGTGATGTTCTTAAATGTCACACAAAGAAATGTGACTAAGTGTGTTTTTTCTTTAGAAATCATGTTTGGGAGACTGTGAACCCTTTCATTCTATGCTCTTCAGTTGTTCTTTAATAATGGGAAATTTCTCAGCCATTATTTCTTCAAAGATCTTATTTTCTTCTCCTTCAGGGACTTCTAATATCACAGGTGTTGATGCTTCTACCTCCATTTTCTTTGTCACCTTGCTTTTTCTTGTTTGTTGGAATTTTCAGTTTCTTTAACTGGATCTTTAAGATCACTGTTTTGGGCCAGGTGCGGTAGCTCATGTCTGTAATCCCAGCACTTTGGGAGGCCAAGGCAGGTGGATCACCTGAGGTCAGGAGTTCGAGACCAGCCTGGCCAACATGGCGAAACTTGGTCTCTACTAAAAAAAAAAAAAAAGCCAGGCGTGGTGGCAGGCACCTGTAATCCCAACTACTTGGGAGGCTAAGGCAGGAGAATTGCTTGAACCCGGGAGGCAGAGGTTGCAGTGAGCCGAGATCATGCCATTTCACTCCAGACTGGGCAACACAGCGAGACTCTGAGATCTCAAAAAAAAAAATTACTATTTTGTTTTTTAGTCACATGTATTCTACTATTTAACCTATCTGTTAAAGCACAGGGTAATAATAATGCTTCATGAATTCCTTCAGTTTCTTTATCTATAGAATGGAGATAATACCAACTTTATAGAATTGGCTTTTTGAGGATTAAATGATCTAATTCATGTAAAGTGTTTAGAACAATGCCAAGTCTATAGTAAGTGAGGGCTGCTATTATTTTTTCTCAATACTTATGTTTTTCATAATCTAGCATTTCTCAGTGGTTATTCTTTATAACTGCTTGTCCTTCCTTCATGTTATGAGTAAAAATCCATTTTATTTTTGTAATGTCTATTACATTTATTTGACATTCTTATTATTTCCCATTCATGATTCTGCTTTCTGTCTTATAGGTGGTTCAGTTTGTTGCTTTTATTTTTTAGTGACTGCATTCTCCAAATGTCGAGCTATTTTTCTTTTGAATGTATGAATATAAATTTCCTGTGGGGGCTATCACCTTTCTGTATGTCACTGTTTAGAGGTTGTGGGGAGGGGGATGGACAGAGGGAAGCTAAAGCCTGGTCTCAGCTAGGGTTTAGGGAAGGCAGGCAAGGACCTCAGGGCAGAGAAGTTCTGCCTTCACCATCTAGGCTTGAGCCCAGCACTTTTCCTACCCCAGCCAGGCAGCCCTGCACCTTAGAGAGCCTCTCTTCATTTCCATTTCCACCCCTGCTCTTTTCCAAGTTCTTCCTTCCTCCGCTATAACTCTTCTATCCTGCAGAGTGGGTGTGGGAGGACCTGAGAAGGTCGGGGAGGTGGGAAGGTTTTCAGTGACCAGCTGGTCTGCCCGCCTAGTGTTATCTTGTCCCCATTGTCTCTGCACTTGCGTGCCATCCTGCTGTTCGTTGGTCCTATGGCTGTCACTGGGGTGATGCTGCTGTTTTCCCACCTTGCTGTCCTGGCCAAGAAAGCCACGCTCTCTGAAGGCAAACACAACTCAAAAGCCCTTCCCTGAATTATCCTGTGTGTGGACCCATGCACTCTCATGCTCTCTGCTGATGTTTACCTTCACATCTTCTATCTCCCTAGGGGTTTCTCACAGGCTTTATGTCAGTTTCTTGGATGCATCACCTTCTCCCTCTCAATTTCGCAGTATCTGGGTTGGCAAAAGTTTCCAGTTGTCCTTGTCAGTTCTCCATTTTCTCATAGCTAAAAGTTTTTATCTTTTATGTAATTATATATATTAATATCCCCGTCCATCAAGCTGGTTTTTAAAACTGAAAATTATTTCATATTTTTAGGAAACTACTCGATTGCATGTATGTAAGGCCAGCTCATTTTAATCTCATACTAAATTAATCAAGTAAAGACCTTTATAAAAGAGAAGATTTTGGGCCAGGCGCGGTGGCTAATGCCTGTAATCCCAGTACTTTGGGAGGCTGAGGCGGTTGGATCACGAGGTCAGGAGATCAAGACCATCCTGGCTAACACAGTGAAACCCCATCTCTACTAAAAATACAAAAAATTGGCTGGGCGTGGCGGCGGGCGCCTGTAGTCCCAGCTACTTGGGAGGCTGAGGCAGGAGAATGGTGTGAACTCGGGAGGTGGAGCTTGCAGTGAGCCGAGATGGCGCCACTGCACTCCAGCCTGGGCAACAGAGTGAGACTTGTCTCAAAAAATAAAATAAAATAATAATAAGATTTTGAATTATAAGGCAACCCACATTATTAAACTTCATTTTATTTTTATTTGAAGTTTTTATTTGTAAAATATAGAAACAGGGTTTCACTGTGTCACCCAGGCTGATCTTGATCTCTTGGGCTCAAGTGATCCTCCCGCCTCAGCGTCCCAAAGTGCCACGATTACAGGTGTGAGCCACTTTGCCTGGCCAATTAAACTTTAAATCAACATTATAAGAAGGCTCTTCTGTAGTATCAAAGTATTCATATTGTGTTAACAAGTTATTAATAACTTAAGATTCCCTTGTCATCCTTCTATTTGTATGATATGATGAGACTCATTGTACTAAATTGTCAGTCCTCTTAAAGCCAGTTGGTATTTACTTGAGACGTTCTATGAGGATTTTTTGCTGTATGTGTAATTGAGAACTGTGGTAGAGAGTATAAAATAGATATATAATATAAATCAAATTATGTTTATCATAAAATAGATCTTGTCAGATGAATGAGAATTTCTAGAAGAAAGCCTTTGAAATTATGTCTTTTGTACTTATGCTTGTTCTAATGTTTCTTATTTCTATATTCATTGCAGATGCACAGTAATCAAAAGGGCTTACTTCCAGAGCCAAATCCAGTACAAATTATGAAAAGTTTAAACAACCCTGCCATGTTGCAAGTTCTTCTACAGCCCCAGTTATGTGGACGAGCTGTTAAACCAGGTATGGACCATGTATGTATACTGATTAAAGAATGTTAGCATGAAGTTAATTTTTTCACATGTGAAATATGAAAAAATACATTTATTTGTGAAAAATATATTTAAATTAGTATAAAAATTTAAAAATTTTTCTAGGACCTGCTAATGAATTTTAATCAATAATCTGAGGTGATATATTTTGACTATTTTTGATATATACAATCTGCTTATGTGGGTTTTTTTTACTATTAATAAATGCTAAATATCAAACCTTCTGTTTAGCTCTTAGTAGACATGAATTTGTAGACCAAGGTAATAGTTAACACACTACATTGTTATAACCTGTATCCACAAAGAATTAATACTTTTCTATCTAATATTTTTAGCAGAATTATTTTGTTGAAAAGTGCCAAATTTTTGTTTCCTCTTTGTTCTTCCCCTTTTTGTTGTAAAATTGTTTCATTTTGTAGCAAATGATGAAAACATTATTATTTTCTAAGTATTATGCAAATCTTTATAATATCAGTATACATTAAATATCTACCTATTTAGTATTCTTTCTGTAGTAAGAGCTTACCTTCTGTGTATTTTGAAATGCACAACTTTTTATGTACAAAAGTGTCTGTTTTAGCATTATGAGGAAATGAATGCCTATACATTGGTCTCCCCTTATCTGTGTTCTTGTGTTCCACAGTTTAGTTACCTGCAGTCTGAAAATATTAAGTGGAACATTCCAAAAATAAACTACTTATAAGTTTTAAATTGCATGCTGCCCTGAGTAGTGTGATGAAATGTTTTGCTGTTCTGCTCCTCCTGCCTTGGCTATGAATTATCCCTCTGTCCAGTGTACCTACTCTGTATATGTTACCCACCCATTAATCACTTAGTAGCCATCTTGGTTAGTTATCACATCACCTGTCATGGTATTGTAGTGCTTATGTTCAAGTAACCCTTATTTTCTTTAATAATGGCCCCAAAGCACAAGAGTAGTGATGCTGGCAGTTTGGATATGACAAAGAGAAGCTGCAAAGTACATCCTTTCAGTGAAAAGGTTAAAACGTTTCCAACTTAATAAGGGAAAACAAAATGTGTGCTGAAATTGCTAAGATCTGCAGTAAGAATGAATTTTCTATCCACGAAATTGTGAAGAAGGAAAAAGAAATTTGAACATAGCATATATAAGGTTTGGTACTATTTATGGTTTCAGGCATCCACTGGGGGTCTTGGAACATATCGCTCGCTGATAAGGGGGATCTACTGTATTCAACATTTAAGTTCAGAGCAAATATGTGTAGAGCAAATATATTAAATTCATTTATTATATTTCCATCCCAACTGGTCTCACACCAGCTCACCTGCTGCATTTCAATTCTGGCAGTAACTACCTGGAGTTAGCACAGACCCCACAAGTTAAGAGCTCAATCTTCCATATGGCTACCCCCACTTTAGACCTTGACGCAAGTTCAGGGGATTTTCCAGGCCATGTGCACTTCTGACCAGCTAACTACAAATTTGCGAGTTCCCACAATGCCCTCAGGTTCAATAGTTCAATAGAATGGCTCACAGAACTTACGAAAGCACTATGCTTATGAGTACATAAGGACAGAGGCAAGGGAAGATACACTTAGGGAAAAGTCTTGGAGGGTCTTGAATGCAGAGCTTCTGTGTCCTCTACCCATCAAATCAGGCCATGTCACCCTCCCAACACATCAATATGTTTTCCATCTGGGGATCTCTACTGAACCTCGATGTCCAGAGTTTTTATTGGAGTTTCACTATGTCGGTGTGATTGATGGGCCCCATGATAGAACTCAGTCTCTACTTTGCTTCCATTCCCTGGAAGTTAGAAGGTCAGGCTGATATCCCATGGTGCAAAGCTCCACCTCTCCTTATAGAGTTGGTCTTTTGGCACAGCTGGCCCTCATCTGGAAGCTATCTATGGGTCCATAATGAGTTACCTCAGTAGCATATCAAAGACACTCCTGTAACTCAGGAAAATCCAAGGATTTAGAGTCTCCCTCTCAGGAACCAGGGACAAAGGCCAGTCAAATTCTTTATTATACAACAGTATTCATATTAAGTACTTCATATAATTATTTGTGTGTAAGAAGCAGCTTTGGTAGTTTTCTGGCTCAGGCTATTATGCAATTAGATATCTCTTTTACAATTTTAATGGTATAGAGATACTCTTTTTTGTCTTGACAACATGAAGGATTAGAAGCTTATTACTTCCCAAGGCAGCCTATTCCCTGGTTTGACAGTTTCATTTACTGGAAAGTTTTTATATTACTAATATAAGCAATTTTTAGCCACTTATTCTGGTTCTGCCTCTGAAGAAATACAGGATAAATGTATTCCTTCTTGCATAATAAAAGCCTCCTAATATTTGAAGACAACTACCGTGAAACCTCAGTCATTTTTTATTTTCCCTGTCTTCTTTTCTCCAGACCAGTTCTTTTTTTTACAATGCAACTTTATCAGTAAAATAAATTTCGAGCAGAGCCCCAATATATACCATAAATGTAAAAGATGTCAATTAAACAGATGAACCATTGTCAATCCATATATTTAGAAATGATCAAATCTAATGTTTTCCTTTTTTAAGATGAAAGTAAACATAAATAGAGGTGGTATTTTTTTCTGCAACTCTCTTTTTATGCATCTTATATCTCTTTGCAGATTACAGTTCTGTATTTGACTTTCCATAACATGTCACAGGACATGTGCTTTAAATCCCCCACAAGTTGTTCTCTTGTAGATGTAGTCTAGGTCTTCCGGGTTGTACCAAAATATGATGTACACAGACACAAACATACTCTGTAGATTGGTTTTGATTAGCACAGAATGCAGTGGGATTTCCTTCCTATTATCATTATATTTCCCTTAATGCAGTCCAAGATTATGTATTAGTGTCTAAAGCATACCACATTCTTAGGTCTTTTAGAAAGTATCATCTGCCTCTTTGGACTCTGGGTTATCTTTACTAATTCCTCTCAAGTATTATTTTTGTCTCTTCTTTTCATCTAAGACTAAATATTCTCCACTCTGCTGTTCTACTCAGATTAATGTATGGCCATATGGCAGTAGGCTTCTTTATGCTTAGCGCTCTCTCGATTTTAAGTAAGATGTTTGAATATTACACTGATGCAGAAGTTATTTCATCAAGCATAGCTTTTTCTTGTGTGGGGTGGAAAGGGAAGAGGATTAAATCATTGCCTCACTTGAGCACATACATAGCTGGAAAATGTATGGAAAGTTTCTTGATGTTGAGAAAAAGTGTCTTGTTAATAAATTCCATTTATTTTTCTTTTACTATGTCCTTTACTGTATCTTACCTGTAACCTTGCTATATCCTGAACTCCTCACAGAGGCCTTCTCTGAGCCAACTAAATTAATGATAAAGAATTGTAATTCTTGGCTGGGCGCTGTAGTTCACGCCTATAATCCCAGCACTTTGGGACACTGAGGTGGGCAGATCACCTGAGGTCAGGAGTTCAAGATCAGCCTGGCCAACGTGGCGAAACCCCATCTCTACTAAAAGTACAAAAATTAGCTGGGCATGGTGGCATGCACTTGTAGTCTCAGCTACTTGGGAGGCTGAGGCAGGAGAATGACTTGAACCCTGGAGGTGGAGGTTGCAGTGAGCCAAGATTGTGCCACTGCACTCTGGCCTGGGCAACAGAGCGAGACTCCATCTCAAAAAAAAAAAAAAAAGAATTATAATTCTTATACCCTTGCCCTGCTTCTTTATCATTGTATAATTTTAAAAACAACTGACATATACTATACATGTACTTGTTTATTGTCTATTTCTACCACTAAAATGGAAGCTCCAACTGCTATTAGATTAATTTCCCTCCCAGATCCAATTTTGATTATGTTACTCTGACTAAGCTGATCTTTTCTCTTCAATCTAGACCTTTTAACTGCCTTCAAAAATACAATAAATATAATTATTCTGGACTTTTTTATTTATGTGTGTACGTTCCTAATTTATTATGTAATCACTTGATAGTATAAACTGTATTTTTAAACAGCTTTAATTTAGGTATAGTTGATGTACATTAAACTATAGGTATTTGAAGTGTACGAATTGATATATTTTGATGTTATGTATATATTCATGAAATCTTTACCACAATCAAATAATAGACATATAAATTACCCTCCAAAGCTTCCTTTTGTGCATTTGTAATCCATCCACTACCCTGTCCCCAGGAAACCACTGATCTGCTTTCTGTCACTACAGTTTGTATTTTGTAGAAACTGGTATAAAAGGAATCACACAGTCTGTACTGTTTGGCTTCATTCACTTAGCTTACTGTTTTGAGATTCGTTCATGTTGTTACATGGATTAGTAGTAGTTTTTCTTTTTATTCCCGAGTAGTATTTCATTCTATAATTTGCTTATTCATTGATTTGTTGATGGACATCTGGATTATTTCCAGTTCAAGGCCATTACAAATGAAATCTCTATGGACACTTGTGTACTAGTCTTTATGCTTTTATTTCTTATGCTTTTATTCTCTTTGATAAATAACTATCTGTGGAATGGCTGAGTCATATGATAGATATATGTTTAAGTGGTGAGAAACTGCCTAGCTGTTTTCCAATGTGGTTGAGCCATTTGACATATTCACCATCAGTTTCTAGGGCTCCAGTTTGCTCAGTATCCCCGCCACTACTTGATCTGTTGGTCTTTTAAATTTTAGCCTTTCTAGTGGATGTATAGTGCTCTCTTACTGTGGTTTTAATTTGAATATTTCTTTTGACTAATGATTTTGAGCATCTTTTATTGTGCTTATTTGTCATCTTTGTATCTTTGATGATATGTCTTTTCAAATATTTTGTACGTGTTAAAACTGAGTTGTTTGTCTTCTTATCAAGTTGTAAGAGTGCTTTTTAATATTACATACAAGTAGTCTGTTGGATATATGGTTTGCAAATATTTTTTAACATTGTCTTTTGAAGAGCAAAATGTTTTATTTTGACAAAATCCAATTTATTATTTTTTCTTTTATA